TTCGATAGTGTTAATAATGGATATTATCATCATCATTATTTTAATTTTAGAGAAATACATGAAACAGTTTCATTAAAATTTTATTAAATATTATATGAAACAATTTCATAACCATATATGAAACAATTTCATAACCATATATGAAACAAATTCATCAAAAAAAGTATTATATGAAACAATTTCACAAGATTAACAATGAAATCGACGTATGAGGTTAGTTTGTACGGTTTGTACAAATGATGGTGATTTTCATTTGATCGCTCCTATATATATGTATGTATATATATATAGACTTGGGATCATGTGAGACTTAGGATTTTTCGTGAGACCCGTAAGACCAATTCTCAACCCTTGAATTAGATCTACAATATGACAATCTGAACATTCATAAACGCCACGAGATTTCTCAATAATCATAAAATTGTCACTGTGCAACTTTAAACCAATAGATCATTAGCTTATAAAGTTGATCAATAAACATAAATTGGTCTTACGAGTCCCACGAAAAAACTTTATTTTCACGTGAACCCAATATAATAAATTACTTTTACTTTTTATGGAAAAAATAAAATTAAGAGTAAGAATTATGTTTCATTCCCATCTTCGTTATAATTTAATTTGTTACATCAAAATCTTTTGACCCTGCATTAAATATTTTTCAATATTTAGTTACTTCTTAATTTTAAATTACTTAAAGTTAATTAACAATCATCTATAAATAATGGTGCGTTTCAAATAGTAGACTAGCATTCAAATATTTTAATTGATATATATATATATATATATATACATATTTACTAAAGAGTTATGTTTATTTGACTCAATATATTTGACAAATAGATATCTTTCTTTAATTTCAATATATATATAGGGTTGGGTTTACGTGAGACCAGACTGTTTTCGTGAGACCCGTGAGACCATATTTTTACACTTGAAACTTCACAGGAAAAACACTGTGAAGGTTTAAAAAAGTCGAACATTCATAGCAAAAACACTGTGAAGGTTACCTTCACAACATTTTGCTGTGAAGTTTCAAGTGTAAAAAGCTGGTCTTACGGGTCTCACGTGATCTCAAGTCTTATATATGTATGTATATAATAATGTTAACATATAAATGCGATATTATATATAAAAAAAAAGCAATAAGTGTCCCTTTTTGATCAAGATGGATAACAATTTTAACTTGAAATTATAATAAGAATAGTTAAAAAAATTAATTGAAATAAATAATGTTTTTAATTATTGTAGGGAAGGGGGAGACTTGATCTATCCACCCACCCAATACCATACCAAACTCTCTCCAAAGCCTCTTATTTGGTAGTTGCCACTTCTTCCCATGCCTACTTTCTTTCTTTCTTTCTTTATATTTCTTTCTTTAATTCCATTCCATATATAACATATACATATACACACATACACAACCCCATATATATATATATATATATATATATATATATATATATATATATAGAAAGAGAGAAAGAGATAGAGGGGTTAGGTTATTATAAGAAATAAAGTTATGGTAAGAAGTATAAGAAGATATCTCCATCCTTGGATTGATCATAATTGAATGTCAACACTGATAAGGTACATCGAGATGCATTAGATCAATTCTCTTCTAAAGAACAATTCATGGATGAGTATGAGATTAAAAGTAATCAACACTCCAGATCTCTTCTAAGTTTCACACCTTAAGTCATATTCTCACACGATAAGAATATATATATATATATATATATATATATATATATTCTTATCCTACCTTTTCACTCAAACCCTCCCTCCCTCCTAACCCTACCCCCATCCCACCACCCCATCCCCTTTCAGGTTATTCATACATTTATTTCCCATCAATTTGTTCCCCTTTTTATCTCTTTCTTTCTTCCTTTGCTTGCTTCCCTCCGTTCCTCCTTCTTCAAGGTAACCTTATTCTTTCTCACTCTCTTTCTATATATATATATATATATATATATATATATATATATATGTGTATGAGTCATTCTAGGTATGTTTTTCTTTATTTGAAGTATAAATCAATGCGTTTGATATGGATAAATGTTTTTCTTATTGGACACATGTCTTGTATAAATAAGGCCTAAGAATTTGGTTTCTTTATTTCTTCCCAATTAACCATTCAAGTTTTGACATTTCTCTCATTATATTCCATCTTCTTGTTACAAGAGGCAAGACTCAAATTCATCATCCTTGCTTCCAAAAGAGTTTTCATATATACATACATGCATATATATATATATATATATATATGAATATATGTTTCTTAAAACTAAAGTTTAATGACTTACACTCACCAACAGTTAATTGATTTTACAGGTGGAATGGCAGAATACGAGGGATTTAGCTCCGGGCATGATCATAACAACGAGGTATATATTACTATACTTTGATTCTGTAGTTGCTTTTGTTTACAATGCTAAAGAAGAAGAAAACCCTTAACTTTGTGGATCTCGTCTTTCCGATTATGGATTATATTTATATATATATATATATATATATATATATATGTATTGATGTATAATGAATGTAAGTCACACATGTGAATACAAAAATTGATGATGAGGTATGTTAGAGTTAGAGATATTCAAAATGGAATGATGTGATTCACATGTTTATAACCAAGAACATGTTTTTTTACGAAAGTTTTATCATTTTTATATTCATCAACCATCTTTTTTACATCTTTATTGTATAAATTAGCCATCATTTAATCCAATTATCCAAAAAAGAGTTCATTTAACAACATATATAAGGATTTTTTTAAATAATATCATACTGATTGAATTGTAATCTAAAAGGGTAAACAAAAATAAAACAAACGAATTCATGAAAAAAATTAGCACATTTATAATGAATTTGACATTATCCAGATATTTATACATTATATATATATATATATATATATTTATTGTCGGTGACAAGTTAATTCATCCATTATTTTTTATATAATAAAATATTACTCTCTTTTTTTTCAAATTGGAATTTTCCATATTGTCAAAAAGAAAAAATAATTATCAATGTTTTATAATTGAATTAAAAAATTATCAAAAATATATTTTTGTTACATTTATAATAAATCATCAAATGTACCAAACCTAAATAAAGTTGCATAGATTCTATTTGTTTGAGGTCCTAATTCCTATAGGTGGAATGTGGGCTACCTTACAACTAAGTATAGATATAACCTATTGGTCTTTGTTTATTCATTTTTTTTTAATTTTGGTTTGAAGGGCAATATAGACATTTGTTATGGGTGAAATAGGTTGAAGGGTAGTATAGGAATTTTATTATTGTAAGGGTATGGATACTTTATGGTTGATAGCTAGAGATTCATATGATTGAAAGCAACATGTTGGTTGGGATGTGAAAAAGAGTCATGTGGAGTGCTCCCATTGCAAGAAAATGACCCTTCATTTTCATCTGTAGATATTTCGTCGGTGTAACTTTCTATCCATACAAATAGTTTATAATTTATTTATTAATAATGCATACTAAACACACGTTGAAAACATGATAAAAACGTGTGTTCAATATCTGTTTTATTAACAAATAGATTATAAGGCATTTATGTAGATAGAAAAGTTACATCGACGAAATACCTATTGAAGAAATATAGTATTAATGTGATCAAAATATGTTTACACAAGAACACCCCTATCACATGTGATTCAGGTTCGGTCAATGTAACGACACACATACTTAGCCTGACAACCTAAGAGTGTTGACTGAATCAGAATCATACACATACAATGGGTTTTTTGAATGGTTTTACCCTTTATAACAAAGTTTTTTGTATCCTTGCAATAGGGGACAACAACGAGCCAGAAATATGGGGGACTAGCACCAAAGAAGAAACCGTTGATCTCGAAGGCATGTGAATTTACATTTTTACCCCTCAACATAGATCCTTTTTTTTAATCAAAAGAAGCATATGTATATGTAATATCATCGAGTACCTAAAATTGTTTCAAATGGAAGACCAAGGCCATGTTACCTTTAGCCAAAAAAAAGGATAATAAAATATTTTCAAGTACCAAACAAGTGAAAAGGGTCTAAACACTTGTTTCTTTTGTAATTGGGCCAGGACCATGAGCGGGCTTTCTTCGATTCAGCGGACTGGGCTTTATGCAAGGTTTGGCCCATAACTTTGTTCCTACTTCATTTTCATATATGATAATGGGCTTTAAGTTCACTTTCTATTGGGCTTTTTGAATCCGAGTCAATGGGCCCAAATATGTAGGCTTCTAAATCTAATTATTTGAGCAAAAAGATGAATTACGGGCAACCTTGTCTAAATCTAATTATTATTGTACATGAAAATAGCAAGGTGCAGGAGTGAATCAGAAATCAACGACAACCATCGAGACCTTGCAGCCAAAATTACAGGTAAGGTTCACAGATCTTTTTTGTTAAGCCGAAGCTCTCTACATCCTGCAACGGAGGAAAAGTCTGTGTATATTTTAGTCTTCTAGAGCCTACTTTCAGGTGGTTTATCTTAAAAATGCCAATTTAAGTTAAGTATAAACATATTCGTTCTGTAGCAGATCTTTTACAAGAGCAATTTGGATTGAGAGACAATCGGGAAAGGGTATGGATTAGATCAAATAGGAAAGAGCAAATACAACGGGTACGCTAATCAATAAGATTGACGAAGTAAAGTAAACAATGGGTAACAGGAGCAACTTTTTAATTTATTATGAGCCCAAACGATTGGCTTAGTTTTATTTTCGTAGCCTAATGCTTGATGGGTAGGAGGAACGATAGTTGTAAATGGTCACTATTATCATCAAGTTTATTTAGGGCGTGTTGTTTTAATATATATATATATATACATATATATACTTTTGTTATACGTGCTAACTTCTCGAATTAAAATGCAGAGAACCCCTCATCAACGTCTACCCCCTAGACGACCTGCATGTGTATCAAGACGAGATCATCATGTGAGTTTTCAAAAATTTCAAGCAACCTCCTTTCTTTATCCACTTACCAGTTCTTTTTTTGTATACTAAGCTACCGATTTAAATATATCTAGACAGAGTAAAAAGGCGTCCTTAAAACACTGAGGAGAAGGCTATCCAGTTATCCAATATCGTTCGACTTTTTTTTATCGTCAATAGTGTTTTATGTTCATAAACATTCCGTTTGGCCTTTAATATTTGAGAAATGAAATTCAAGATGTATGGTGCGTATCTTTTACAAACCAACCATTCTTCACGTCAAATGAAGAGTTATAAGTTGATGATATTCTTAATTTTGCTTCTGTAACAACGTATTTTACCCTGTTGATCGATCTATTTGAATTATGAAAATGATATCATAATTCACCTTCGATTACTTCTTTGTGGATTGTAATAAGTTTGAGTCGAGTATTTTTTTTAAATCAAATTCTTGAGATTAAACATTATAACATGACAAGAATTGTTTTCAAAATGAAGCTTTTTTTTAATATAAAACCTTCATAAAACGCAAAACAGATGAGTTTTTTTATTAGGGGATAACGAATGTTCGTTTTTTAGAATGGGCGTCTTCGGTATCCCCCTCAGAACATCGAACTTGAATGAGATAAATTGAACACGAATAGTTATCTGATAACGTAGTAAATACTTAGATGTAATTTAGTGGCGGATCCAAAAAAATTTATCATTGAAGGCATACGTAAGGAGTTAGGGATGTCAAAAAAAATTTGAAACTGAAGAACTCATCCGAACCAAGACAGTTTTAGGTTATTTGGTCTTCGGTAGTGGTGTGCAAAACGCGAATGGTCCGAAATCCGAACTCGAATAAAAAATAAGGTATTTAAGCAAAACCCGAGTGCCCCGAAATCCGAAAATCTGAAAACCAACTTTTTGGGGAAATTTTGGGTTCAGGCTAGATTTGGATTTTGGCCTCTATCCGTCCGAAAACTAGAAATATATATACGTATATATTTTAAATACTATATAAATATATTTATTTATCTAATTAATTTTTAAAAAATTATAAAAATCCTAATTGGTCGTGTTCTTTTCTAATTTCTAAGCGTATTATCGATTTATCAATCCTCTAAATCTATTGAATTCATTCTCAAAATCAATTAAATATATACAATTTTTTGCATTATAACTAAACTCGAATCCGAGCGACCTCGACCCAAAATCCGACCAACGCGAATGCGAAGTGATCCAAAATCCGAAACCCAAAAATCGAGGCTTGATTTTCATATCCGAAATCTGAATCGGGTTTTTGATTTATCCACCCAAACCCGTCCAATGCACACCCCTAGTTTGCGGCTTAAATTGTTCAGTTTAATCAAATATATATAACTTTTTGGTTTTTCAATTATTTTTTTTACCATTTTAGATAAACCGAGACATTATACTGTTATGTAGATATTTTTACTATTTCGGTTTAACTAAAAGCAAGTGAACATGTTACACATTAATAGCCAGCAGTAAGAAATTAGAGGGCAAGAGGTTAACACATTAGATTCAGTTAGAAAGAAATCAGATAGTAAAAGACCAAGTTATCATAAATGAAGAACCAACCAGTAGTAAACCCTATATAAAAATAACAAACTCAAATTAAATAAAAAAAACCCTACATCACGTTACAATTAAGAAATAGAAAATTAATAATTGTCAAATAACAATAACCATAAATCTATAAAACAATAAATTGGAAGCAAAAAAAAAAAAAAATAGTAACTGATCAAATTATTAGCATTATAGAAAACAAAACAAGAGAAATAAGATGACTTTCAGTAGGTTGAGGCTTAAAAATTAACTGGATTAGAGTTTAATTGATGCTTAAATTGGTAACTCTTCGATATGGAGTTGTAGATGAGATGGTAGAAATTAGATTTGGGGGCTTTACCTTTCAATTGTTGGGGGCCTATTAGTAATTTTAGGTTAAAAAATGTTTTTGAGTTACAAGTCATGCTTTGTAGGGGTCAAATGGGGGCCTTTGACCCCTACAACTTAGCTATGTATCTGTCCCTGATGTAACTCATCTACTCTACTCATCCATGGACAAAAGTTTCTAAAGACGGTTTTTTCTTTAATAACTTGTTTTGCGTTAAATGCAATTTTTGTTGGTCAGAGAATACAAATATATGTATTATGGAACAAGACGTTGGTTTTTTGTTCGTAAAGTTTTCGAATCAAGTATAAAAAGATGGATCCTCTAATTTGATAAATAACTGTTTTGAAACTTGATAACCAACTTGTAAGAATGTCAAGCTATTCATTTAGTTATATCTTTTATAGAGTAATTGTTGAGCCAATATATACTTAGGGGGTGTTTGGGATTGCTTATTTTAGGTGTTTTTTGACTTATTTCAGTCTGACACCGGTGATAAGTTAAATGCTAGTGTTTGGATGAGGAAAAATAAAACTGCTTATACCGATGTCAAACCGGTAATAAACAGTTTTTGATAAGTTAATCCTTCATGACTTATGAAAAACTGTTTATTACCAGTTTACTATTTTAACCATGTTTTATTAATGTTTGTTAATTATTATTCTTATTGATATAATTTTTTGTCAAAAATATTATTATAAATGATGAAAAATAAATTTTTACATGTTAAAAAATCAAATAAGTTAATAATTAAAAATATTATTATATGGAAGACTGTCCTTTTTGGTCATTTTACATATATAAACAAAATTTGCCAAACAATAAAAAACAACTTATCAACTTATTGCTTTTTGGTACCGCTATAAGCTAATCAAAACACTATTTACAAAACTCCAATTTAATATCACATAAGTTAATAAGCACTTTTACAAAAAAACATAAGTTGTTTTAAATAAGCAATCCCAAACACCCCCTTATATGTGTGTGTTTCTTTTATAATCACGTGAACTCTTGATTACAAACATTGCAAGAAGAAGTCATAATGTTCATTGTCTCAATGCTTCTAGTCATCAAATGTGAACTGTTGTTTTAGTATCTCTTTTGGAGCTTTGGCCCGTCTTTGGGGTGTTGTTTTCGAGACACTGGGTCCTTCTTCTAATTTTAAATCAACATGATACCCGGTTTCTGGCTCTGTCATGAACAAGTGTTTGATGCTTGTTTCTTTTATAGTAAAAAAATATTTCTGTTTCACAGTTGTCAGTCCTAAATTAATTCACTTGTATCGTCTTACTTTATCATAAGCAACATATACATGGAGAATTCAGTCGAGGAAAAAAAAGCACAGAGTAAAAAAGAAATCACATAGTAAGACAAAGAATCTTTTAGACAACCTTTGGAGGGGGAAGGTTGATTCGGCACAATTTCATGTTTGCTTGGTCGAGTTTGATGAAATAAATCTTACAACGACAAACACACGATATGCAGAATAGAAGATAAGTGAAGAGAAATCAAATGCTTTGATTTAGCGGTTGTTTACCTAAACACTTATCTGGTAAACACTTACCGGTAAAATTCAACACTATCGCTTACTTATGAGGTAAGATTTTATTCACTAAAACGCATCGTGTGCAACAATTTATCTCAGTAAGCACTAACCATGGTAAGAGTCTGCGTCCTCACTTACCAGGTAAGACTCTCGATTCTTGAATTCGCTCTTACCGGGTAAGATTTTTAGTCCTTGTCATATTCATCCGATAAAGTAAAATGACTTGATAAGCGCTTACTCAAATAAGCATTTGGTAAGTTACACCTTAGAATGGTTCATGAATTGGTAAGTCCATTTTTAGGAAGATAGAAGTCGGCAAGAAAAACATTCGACTTCCACAGACAATTGCATGTTATAGTGTAAATGCCAAGAAGCAATGTGCATTTTGCCATATTTAAAATTAATAAAATATTGTTTTTAAAACAAAATTATTTTAAAAATTGAAACTACAAACATCATTCTCTCTTTAAATGTGACATCCATAATTTTTCATCTCATTTTTCTTGTATGCCAAAGTTTTCATGATTGTTTTCCACACACGAGTGAGAATTGAACATTTCCTATTTAATTTGAACCCTTTTTTTCATACGGTTTATGGATGTAGATGGTGATATCTATACAGATAGATTAAGGTTAGAATTCTAGCTTTTCTAGAATGGTATCTCACTGATGGCAGCCGTGGATCGTTTGATTCAAATAAAATTTGAAGTCGTTCAGTCTGAATACTACATGAAGAACATAAGCCAGATGATGGAACGGAAAAACTATTATTAACAATTTCACATGTTCTCAAAAGAGGCATGTGCTATTTTATAGGGTTAAATGCATGAAATAACAACCTACTTTCATAATTTTTTCTATTATAGCATTCTACTTTTGTTTTTCTTTATTACAACAATGTATTTTCAAATTATTTTTTTATTAAGGAATCGTAATTTAAAAAATCTACCCATAATAGCAATGGGTAACCTGTTACCTTTTAAACTGGTTAACCCTTTGACTTTTTTTGCTTGTGTAGCTTTAATGAGGTTATATGGATGACACATCATTTTGATAACTTAACTAAAATAAAAATAAAAATTTATTTCAAATTATTATTAGTGATTTTCATTTTTTATTGCTATGATCTAAAAAAACATTTAATTTTTTTTTGACTTTTTTTATTAAGTTGCATGCAAATTAAATATTCTAGAGTAAGATATTTCTTAAATAAATATGAAACATTATTTTCGAGATATATTTTGTTTGTAAAAAAGATAACACTTCTTATTTTATGTTCTTCAAATAAATACATATCTTTTAAAGTTCTATTTAAAATCTTAACGAAATAAATTGTGATCTACAATTTTTTAATATTGTTATATTAATAAATAATTCAAAAAATCTAATTAATTTAATATATTTATACGTTAAGTAAAAGTTTTTGAACAAATATAATATATTCTTTAAAAGATAATACTTTTTGGTAAAAAAAATGAACAATTCTTATTTTCTTTTTTCAAAAAACACATATTTTTTTAAAAATATTAGCGAGAGAAGTTGTGTTCTACTAGTTTTATTGATATTGGTATATTAACGAATAATTTTGAAATTTTTTAAGTCATTTAATATATTTATTAAATAACATGTAAAATATCTAAATATTAAAATTAAAAATATAGTGTTTAATAAGAAGTAGTAGATGTTATAATAAAATAATTTTGAAAGTACAATAATATAGTAAGAAAGTCACATCAATATAGTACATGTGGACAGCCTACGTGGACAACGAGGTGACACAGAAACCTGGTATAATGGGTAAATTTAAATCAAAAGGTTACTCAATGCTATAATGGATAAAATTTTCAATATCCTAATAAAAAATAGTTTGAAAGTACATTGTATAATAAGAAAAATTGAAAATACAATACTATAATAAAGAAATTTATAAAAATAGATTATTATTTTGCATATTTTGATCCATTTTATATTCCATTTTTAACCCTAGGTATACCTGAAAAGTGAAAGTTAGGTTTGATTTGGGCAAAAAAGAAAATTAGAAAAAGTTGGTGGTTTCCTTCAACTACCCTCTATTCGTAGTCTCCCCTGTCCCAACCAATTGACCTCTTCTATTTACCAAACAAATTCCTAAATATATCACATTGCTCTTATAACTACTTTATGTGTGTATGTATAGGTTCATTCATTTTTGGTGATTTACTAAACCTACTGTTGGATTTGAATTCAAATTCAGGGTGTATAAGATTTCCCGATACACGTAAATCGTATAGCAAAAACCGTCCTCCGTCACAACCGACAAGTGTGATATTTGAACTCAAAACGTAGCTTGATTGGAGTTACCAATATGGTTTTCTCGATCTTTGGCAAGCAACTGCTTTTAACTCTGATGCTGCTCTGTATCGCTCTGTATGGCTTCGGGTTAGGTACGGTTTACGTGATTTTTTCATCTAAGAATTTGTTTGATGATTCGCGTTTTAAATTGTACAAAAACATGCATTTTGTAAAAGAAAATAGCAATTTTCTTGTAAATGTGGTGTTATTACGTCAGGTTTATGAAAATGATAATTTAGGCATCTTTTAAAGGTAGCACCAAATGCATAAAAAAATTGTGACGCTGACGGTTACACAAATATAAGATTTTAGGTATATTTCTTTTTATCATCTTTAATGGATGTAAATGAACAGTGTTGTATCAAATTTGGTGTGTTACTATGCATCACACCAAGTTTTTTATTTGGGTAACCGTGGGTCAACTTACATGTATCGACTAATCTCACAGATCACCACAAATGGCATTACACCAAGTTTGGTGTCACCATTCTGGCGATTTGACGTCAAATTCGGTATTTGGCGACGATACTCTTAGTTATATTGAATAGGAGGGAATTGAAGTGAATTTGTGATTGTACAGGAAGAGCACAACCAGGTATTGCAGGAACCGGGAATGGATATATACCTCAGCCAGGCGGTGGTGGCGGGTTCGGAAACGGTGGCGGTGTTGGTGGCGGCGGCGGGTTCGGAAACGGTGGCGGTGTTGGTGGATTGGGAGGAATTGGAGGTGGAGTTATTGCCAAAGCACTGGTCTGTCTGAGTGACAAGGCAAGTGATTTCCACCCAGCTTTAAATCCTTGTTCCGTACAATCTTCAATGCATGATCAGTATGGTACAATTTTCTTACTTGCTTTCCACAAATATTGATGTTTAAAATGGAATAAAAGCCATTTAAATTCTGAAAATTTGACATCAAAATTAGTGGTCGTTTACAAAACGCTCATACGGTAAGATTAAACACTTTAACTTAATTTATCGGATAAGATTTTTAGTTCATTATAACGATATCGTGTGTAACAATTTATCTAATAAGCACTTACCGGATAAGACTCTCGGTACTTATCGTTCTTACGGGGTAAGATTTTCAATCATTGTCATGTTCATCTTGCAAGGTAAAGTGACCCAATAAACACTTACCGGATAAACATTTTACAAATGGCTCCAAAGCGTATATATATACACACACATACACACTTAAGTCTCTTTTTCCTACGATCGAGCCAACTTGTGTGGATCTGAACTAATCCTAAAATTCATAGTTAGACGGACTCTCCAAGTCCAAGTGGCCATGACCAAACTTATACCCGTGATTTTTTGGGAAGTAAAAAATCCAGGATCTTATCAGTTGAGCTACACTCGGGATTTTATCATATTACCAAATCTTCCTCTAACTGTATTTTCTAAACAACAGATTTACAGTGGTTGTGGGGAGTCGTATAGGTTGACGGAGAGTGGAGACCTCCACGTCCCACTCGACTATACCAATCAATACTGTAGTGGTCCGTGCCTTAGAGAGACAAAGCTCGTGCTCAGTTGCATCAACGATGTGTTATCAAACTTCGTCTTTTACAATCGTGCAACCGTAAGGGACGTGAGGGACACCATCACAGCCGGATGTAGCTATGGTCCTACACGAGGTCATTCATTAGTGTAATTAAACAAGATATATATGAGTTGCGGGGTTGTGATTATAATATCACAACCTCACAACAAACTCGACACTTTCCATTTCTTCCCGTAAATCATTTTTAAATAAAAAATTTTAAACTTTTTTTTTCGGTTTTATTTTGTTTTGTAGGTGACTTCAATGTGGCTGAATACGTTCGTGCATATGGAAGCAATTCATACAAGCTTTCATACCCTAATCTACTAGTGATTGTACCTTTTATCTCGATTTGTATTATATTGTTTTGATGATCTACCTTTGCCCCCTTTTTAACTTAGGGGTTGTTTATCTAAATGCTTACCCAATAAGTGTTTACTGACACAAGTCAACATTATAATTTATTTTGATGCGTGAGATTTTAGTACATCAAAACGCATCGAATGCAACAATTTACCGGGTAAGCGCTTACCTAGTTAAGAGTCGTCATCTTCACTTACCGGGTAAGACTTTTCATCCTTCTCATTGCTCTTACTCGGTTGGATTATTGCCCTTGTCATATTCATCCGGCGAGGAAATTAATCCGGTAAGCACTTACCAAGTAAGCGTTTAGTAGACGGCCCCTTAGTTGATAGTACTATCACTTGGTTCAAAGAATTTGATGTTGTGGATGCTCGAGCAAATTACACGCTACGAGAGAAAAATGTCTTAACGGTTGTTCGGTTCAGGTTGAGAAATAAAAATGGAAATAATTAGAATGAAGAAAGAAATAAAAATTTGGGCTTGTGGAAGAATGAACACATTATATTATATAAAACCATATAAGTTTTTTTAAAATTTTCATTCACATTGATTACTGTTTAATACCTCTAATCAAACACCCACTTATTATTCAATCCCTTAGAAACTATAATATCGGCTCTTTTTAGTAGTGGATCTATTTTTCTTAGGTGGCTAAAATTTAGAAAATCCGAAATGGAGAATAAACATAAGTGATTGTTATTTGAATTGAGATGTAAAAATAAAATGAGTTAACCATAAGGATGGTGCCTGATTGGTTTGAGCTTGGCTTCAAAGGTCAAAAGTACTAGGAGGTTTCAGGTTCAAATCCAAGGAGACATAAAAATCCCCTTGTGGCCACGGAGGTTCAAATGCGGTGACTCCGGGATATCTGCAAAGCAGGTGGTTGTCCTGGAATTAGTCGGCTCGCATAGCGGGTTGGATATCCAGGTTAATTAAAAAAAATGAGTTGAATTATTTTAACTAAAAAAAACATAAAATCACAAAAAAGATATTAAAAGTTGGATTTGAAGCTCCAAATAAGGATTTTGGGCTAACAGTTGGGCCAAACGTTACGTTGGCCGTTTTGTCATGATGTCCAACTTGACACGGACTTGCCATTCGTGTCTTCACAATGAATCAAAAGTTGTGACCGTTCTAAGTTGAATTTCTTTCCAACTATTTCTTCCTCCTACTGATTTATCAAAGAGTCTTGCAACTCCTGGATTTGCTCTATATCAAAAGCCATTTCAAAAAATCGAAAAAGAAAAACTAACTGTTTCAAGTTTATGAACATAATCAACAAAAAACCAGTTCCAACAATTAAAATGCCAACAAAAACACATGGGTGTTTAAGAAGGAAACCCTACACGATTTTTTAAATATTCACTATCTTGCAACTTCCTAGCTTCAAAAGTCAAACCAACATGTTTTTATATCAATGGACATTACACACATCTCATCATACTACAAACATTGTTGCAAACATCAGTATTATCTGAATAACAAAGATCAACCTTTAGCATGTAGGTATTTCAGGTGCGACCTTTAGATAGAGGGAGGGAGGGAGGGAGGGAGGGGGGGGGGTCTCTAGGCACTTTTAAAGTTGGTTTTTTGCAAACTTCTCGTTCAAATTTAAATAATGCGGAATGATGTTTGAATATGAAGTATAAACCAAAGATAACCAACAAAATTACAATACAGAGGTGAACATTTGAACACTTGAGGGATAAAGAAACTTCACTGACGATGTAATGTGGTTCACTCAAACTTGGCTACTTCCATACTGAGACACCTTCTTGACACGATCCACTATGAGTGTTCTTGTTTCAATAGAAGAACAATAAACTGTTATCCACACAATGAGTTAATTACAATGATGAACACTTCCTAGCTTTTGGTTAGGGATTTCTGGCTAGTTACTTACACCACTTACAAATGAGATCAAATGGAAGCTCAAATGATGTATTTTTCTCTCTAAGATGAATGTGTTACGAATATTTTAGCTTTGATGAATGACAAATTACCAACTATTTTACACTTAGCTTTATTATAGATGTATATATGTGTCACACATATCTACCATATGAAGAAATCAAGATCAAAGGATGGAAATGAAGATACTTGTTAATCACTTGAAGGTTGAGGCCCATAGATGAAAGAACCTAAGAACTAATCAAGCTCATATACTTGGTTAGTTGGTTGATCAACTGAAACAAACTATTGAAGAAGTTAGTCATAAAATGGTAGTATCAACTATTTATGAAAACAACATATGAGAACTGTGATAGGTTAAGAGTAATCAACTGAAGCTAAGTTTGTTGTCCACCTGATGCAGCTATACTGTGTACGCACATGAAGTTGGTAGAAATATGAAAAGATCAACCTTACTGTATGAAAAGTCATGCACACGTTTAAAGCAATATATATTGTACATGGTTTGCATTAAATGTATTATAGGCCATCGAATGTTAGCATGAATGATCATAAAGCCAACAACTCCAAAAGGTGACAAGTAAATCTTCTAAAGATGAATGACCATAATTTGTTGCTATTGTCTAATGGACTATCCATTGTGTGGAAATCTTTTTCTCACTCAAATGTATCAATACTAGTGAGAAGTTGTCAAGAAGAAAGTTCAAACATTTCAAGAGATCAAGTTTCAAGCATACACAGGTTGGTTCTTGTTTGAGCTTCCTAGTTCTTAATCTTAGGGAGTATACACTTTGAGTAGACTATATGAGTTGTATAATCTGAGGGAGTATACACCTTTAAACTCATAAATATATTGGCTAGATGTAATTTGAATTTACCTTGCATGTCGTTTTTTTACCTCGTTATATTTAATACCCCGCGGGTTCTAAACATGGTAGGGACATCTCAATAATCAATAACAATCTTCTAGTTTAAGTCTATGCATCAAACTGAAAAACCTAAATCCCTTAAACTCAGACTTTGATACCAACTGTAATAACTTATTTCAAATGACACATAACACAGAAATTTATACATAGCATACCAAATACAAAATACAGAATGGTCCACTTCTACAAACTATACGATGATCTGAGCGAAACTACATCAAAGTTTTAGCTTAACCTTCATATAATTTTGAACAGAAAAGAATCAGGATCAAAAGCGATGATCAAATCTTGACTAGTTTCTGTAAAGGAAAGTCCAGTTATGTAAGTCTTGTAGTTTACCCTTTCCTTTAGCCTCTAATCGATTATGCCTTGAAATACATATTTTTGAAAAATAAAATGAGGGTTAGACTATACGGTTTACTGAGAAATCCCTATCAATGAAATAATCCTGTAAAAATCATTTAATATGAAGTCATTAATCAAATAGTCACAATGTAGGGTCGCAAGACTACATCCCTCCAAGACAACTATCCACAAAAGTCGCTTTTCTAAAAGTGCACACTCCGATAGGATCGCCATCAGTATTGGCAGTGAAACCACACAAAACGAATTTGTGTGCTAAAGTTATCCTCCCTACAGGACCATTATAGCCTCACACGCACACAAGCTTATGTTGTGTAAGTCCCTTTAACCCAAGTAACAATCACCAAATTATATGTGTTAATACCAAGCAATCACAATTAACAGTAAATTCAAAACATACCAATATGGTATAACATTTAAAATAGTAAGCATTTGATAGGATATGCATTTCAGTTTAACATGGGTATAAAAATAATTACCTTGATATGATATATGATGATATAAACTCTAATCAATACAAGAGTTCAAAACCGAACGCTTGAATCTGAATAAGGAAACATGGATCACAATCTAGGGAGATACTCAACCTTATCTCTAAACAACACTAGCGGGTCGGGACAAAGAAACAGAAAAACAATACCCCGAAGGTCCCCAAAACGACAAAAAGAAGAAATAAAAAATTCAAAAAATTCGCAGGTAAAGTCATGCAAATCTCTGGATCGACTTTTCTCCCCTGCTTTTACCCAGGTTTTAGACCTTCAGCTCAAAAGCAATTCTCACCAAAAATTATTTAAACTTCGCAAAAATGGTCCAATTTACACCAACACATATGAAGATTTGAAACCCAAATAACTTTTAATCAAAGATTACCATCATATGATTCCAAGAATGAGCAAATCATAAAGCTAACTCATCAAAAATGGAGGAAACTAATTTTTCACTTCACAAAGAACTGAAAATCATTAGGAACTCAAATTTTAGCTAAAAAAAACTGGAATATACTTTCTGTTCCAAAATCAAATAGGTAAACCAACCTATACACCCAAACTACCACTAACCTGAAATGAAAAAGACATGAAAAGAATACTCTTACCTTTTTTTTTATTAACCTGGATATCCAACCCGCTATGCGAGCCGACTAATCCTAAGTGACCACCTGCTTTGCAGATAGCCCGGAGTCACCGCATTTGAACCTCCGTGGCCACAAGGGGATTTTTATTCCTCCTTGGATTTGAACCTGGGATCTCCTGGTACTTTTGACCTTTGGAACCAAACACAAACCAATCAGGCACCACCCTTGTGGTTTACTTTTACCTTTATACACAAGAGGAGAAGGATTTCTAACCAAAACTCCAAATTTTACCCTCTATGCTATTAGATTTTGGAAACACAATATCAAAATTACTTGGATAATTCAAGGATTGTGTACAAAACACTTTCCAAAATCTATGATTTCGACTCTATTGCCTTGGGTATCACGAAATCAGATTTGGGATAATCCAAGAACAACAAATCTGGATTTCAAGCAAAATCCAAAATCACAAACACATAATATCTTGCTTGTTTATGTTCCCTTAGAGACAAAATTCGGCAGCGTAACAGTATGCAGAAGAAGATGATCCGCAATCATCGAATGAAACCTTATCTAGCCATTGGCAGTTAAGTCAGTTAGTTTTGGTGGGAAGTCGTGTCTGTACCCAACAGACGCGACTATTCGGGTGTTTGGTTGGACCCCGCCAGGGGTGATGCCATTTGGAACCCCACTAGAGGCGCTGCCCTCGGACCCCCGCGTTCCTAAGATAAACTTAACTTATCCAAGCATGCATTCCGCACCTTCG